GAAGGGGAATTAATTTATCTTTTCCTTTTGTTTTTGTGTGTGTGTGGTGTATGGTGTGTGTGTGTGAGACAGAAAGATTTAGTAGTTTTGTGCCTTTAACAGTGACAAGGGGAACAAGCATTTACCAAATAAAGTATCTGCCATTGGAATATACTAAAATAAAGGACAAAAATATCCACTGCAAACAGTGAAGTCTATTCAAAAGTTAATAAGAAATAATGAGAACTGAGAATGACATTGAGATTAGTATGAGATGCAAATGAAGAATAGAAATTAAAGTATTTATATTGCACTTTCTCTCTCTCACACACAGACACAAATCTTCTATCATACCTTTATTACTGTAGAGTATTTCTGTAGAGAACTGCAGAGATGACCTTGGAGATGGAATGTGGCAGTTAGCAAAACATGAATTAAGCCCAGGAAAAGAACATCTGAAGGAAAATGACTCTGTCTTAACCCTTTAGTACAAGAAGGATGGAGGGAAAACACTGTCAGGTTTTAAAGACTCCGTTAGTAGAACCTGTATAAATACAGTTCCAGTATTTCTTATGGAATTTGTTTCTTGACCTGACCTACCTCGAAGGGCTGACATCAATCTTGAATGTGTGGCAACCTTTTCCTTCTCTCTGCCCTATACCAACAACAGTTAAGGCAGAGTCAGTTTAATTTCTTTCTAACATTCTCTTCCTTTCCTGGGTTTAATTCATGTTTTGCTAACCGGCACATTTCTTTGCCAAGGTCTTATCTGTGGTTTTTTACAATTTTAATCAAAAGGATAGAAATCATTTATTCACAACAACGACAAATCATCAGACATCCAAGTGACAAGGTTAGGAATAGATGACCACCTCCTTCAAATGGAACTGAATATCATCATGGGACTTGAATAACAAGATTATGAATAGAATAATTACGTACCCTAATTGGTCTGACTACCTATCTAGCTGGGACTGGAATGAAGCTCTTACTTCTCAGACATAGGAGAGGAAGTAGTAAAAAAATGAGAAATGTGCAAAACTAATATTAAACACTAACACTATCAGCAAAAGTGTAATCAAGAATGGACAGGAAGGAAATGTCTCCAAATTGTTTTATGCTTACAGTGTACAATATGTAGACTTGTTACCTTTATAAATTCATATTATGATCATGGAAATTATGCACTCAAAGATCCATTTTTACAGTTACAAAATTGGATTTCATGACATATATTCCATTTTTTATTATTTTGAAGAAACTGTATCACGCAAAATGCCTTAAATAAATTATGTGGAAAAATCAGAAAAATACATATTGATTTAAATATGTACATATTTATGGCATTTATAGGCTGCCAAAATCTGCTACAATTCTGAGCAGCTTTCAAAATATCTGACACAGAGAGAGAACTTGTAGTCTTTCAGATGTTGATGAATCACAACTCATTTTAGCTGTAGCTAATGCAGCCAATGGAGAAGAATGCTGGCAGTTGGAATTCAGGAACATTTGAAGACCACAAGTTTGCCATTCTCATGTAGCTTCTGCTACTTTATCACAAAAGTTTAGAAACTCAACATGCAAGCTATTAAGCTACTCTCCAAATCTGCCATTTGTTTCTATGCGACTATTAGTTGGGCTGCCGGGGATGTCTTGATGATATGACATGGTGTTCCCTGCATTGGCATCAGCAGTGGAACAAGGCTGAAAAATTTTGGCCTGTTTTGAAGAGTTAATGGGGTCATTTTAAAGATTGAGGTGGATGCACTAAATGTCACAAAAAGTAAATCATCTATTTTGACTCTTAATTTGCAAGAAAAAAGGTAAAAATCATGCTGTTAAAAACTGGATATTCTGCTGCTGAATTTAGCCCTGCAATCTCAAGGAACCCAAAAGTTGCCAATATATAATCTATATCTATATCTATCTATAGCTTTCAATTACAATGTTTTATTTCTATTTTTCAGTGCTGACATTTTATTTTATTTATGGTCAAAGGTCAAAAAGCAAAAAAGAATAGTACAATATAAATAAGCAACACAAGAAACAGGCTTAATTTATGAGCAGAATAGAAGTTGATGACAAACATTTAATGCTGCTGACCTTCTATCTAAGATGTATTTAACCAGAGTATTCAAGCAGGAATATAATTCAAACCCAGCATCTTCTAAGAGCAATAAAAATTTAATATAACTTGGCAATTTTCATAAAAATTTCAGTATAATAATCTGCTAATAAAAAGTGTGCAACCTCCATCTCAGACCAGCCTGTGCATTTAGTAAAGATAAAGATGACTGTCTAGATGGCCTCATCCAAGCATGGACAGTGGCATTCTAAAGATGGGATGTTATCTCCAACACACTCAAAGTAAAACATTGAGCCTTGATCATTTAAATGCCTTCCTGGTTTGGAGAAAGGTCTACTGAAGAAATCTCATAACAATGATTTGAATATTGGATCCCTCATTCTACAGATTCAAATCAAGGACTGTTTGACCTCTACTTCCTCTGGACCAAGCATTAGCAGGGATTAAGTGGAGAGGCCCCAACAAGACAAATCTTAGGATCTGTTTTTTTCCAGGAGGAGGTAAACTTATAAGTGAGGGAGGACTGACTGAACTAATGAACCATCCCTCAAAACCGGTTTTAGCCAGTAATTCAAGTGGGAAATTCTTATGAGGGCCTCCACAGAGGTACAGCCTGATCCAGTTGAAGAAGTACAGATCAAAGAACATGAATCATAGTTCTTATAAATTTTGATTACATTGCTTTTAGGGTCCTTAGCACTTTTTTTTTTTTAATCTGCATTCAGTCGTTACCGACTCTGCAGTGACTGCTTTTTGGACAAGTCTGTTGCAGTTTTCAAGGCAAGGTGTTTCAGAAGTGGTTTGCCAGTGCCTCCTTCCTAGAGCGGAGCCCAGCTGGCGAGCGCAGGAGGCGGGGTTTCTGTTGCTTCGCGCCTTTTTTGGGCGAGCGCGGCTTCCGCACTACCGGCAACTGCTCCCGACTCCTTTTGCAAGGTGCCGCCAG